CAAAAACCGAATCGTTTGAACAAAAAACTTTCCGTCTATCTTTATTTAAAATGTTAAAGACAGTTTTCGAAATGAGGTCAGCCAGCATGTCTTTTGTAAAATCGATAGCCTTAATACACCTTTGATAACGTCCGTTGTTTATATTTCAAAGGAATTGCCTAAATACGCACACCTACACACTCAAAAAACTCGCATATCCTTAGGATACAAAGATCAAAAGCCTTGCAGAGCAAATTAGGCATTGCCGTGTCCTTTGTATTGTCTGGCAGTTAAACATGGACAACAGAACGAAATAAACATGGACGAAGAAATACTTTTGTAAAGAGCGTCCCACCCTCTAACTTCTAACATTGCATTTATCCTGACAACAACACTAACTACCAAAAATAAACGACTGGATTTTTGTTCTTGTGAGGTTCGCTATTGCTGTTGTTGTTGGTGTGTGCCTTGCAGTTGTGAGTTGCTGAAATAACTTTCACATACCTTGGGCAACAAATTAAGCCAAATTACGATGTGTTTACGGTTTGATAAACTTGAAAAGCGTTTAATTCACCACCAACAACATCGTCGCACTCATCTTCGTCGTCATCACCACAATCATCATCAACAACAACAGCCAACGTTGTCTTCGACATCATTATCTCTTTGGCACGGGCGTTTAAGAAGAGAGTTATACAAGCAGCCAGATATCTGTTGCCACAAAACGAAGCAACATTTCTACAATGGCATGCTTGGCTTACGGCAGTTGTAATCTAAGATTGTTGTACATCAAACCAAAAGCATGTTGTCTCTGTTTCTTCGCAAAGAAGACTCCAGAAGCTATTCAACAGATAACAGTAAGCTCCATTGTAAATCCATTCACCAACAATAACAAAAAAAGTGAAAATTATTTCGCAAAAAAGTTATGTACTTTCGGTTAGTTGAACTAATTGAACCAAAAACATAATAGTTTGTCGCTGAATGAAACCAATTTAGCGTAAAATGGAAATTAGTTTAACAAAAAAAAAACACAAACATTAACTTTCTTCACTATTAAAAATTTAGTTTTTTAAGAGATTGTGAAATAATTTAGATTACCCAATATTGCATATTATAAACCATTGGAAAATTATGGGAGACCCTTTGCATGACCGTAGGGGTTCCCCTAGATACAGCTCAATAAATAATTTTTGCAATTTTGAATCCATGTTTACTATTTATAGTACATACATATATAGAAGGTGATAAAACTGTCGACCAAATGTATATCCTGTATATACTTTTAGTATATAAACCCTGATATCATCCCTGTCTGACCCTATATTATTCTAAACAAGTATTACATAATGTTATAAAAAAAAAAAACTTCAATATCCTCCATTCTATGATTGTAGGGTATATACTATAGCAAATAATGATCACGACTTTGAGTTCTATTTTCGTACTTTTTATGCAATTTACAGAAAAAGAAATTGCGAAAAAATAATATAAATATTTATGCAATATGAATCCCACATTGGCAATGGTAACGCACGTTCTCTGGGATATATATTTTAAAATGAGATATCAAAAATGTAAAACATATTTTAAGTTCTTTTTTCAACTTCGGCAAATCATTTGTTTTTGCCAGAAAACAAACTTTGTCACATCGTAGTCAAGATGTATTTTGTATGAAAAAAGGATTACCCTAATATACGTGTTCATATGAGTATGATGAGGATGATGTTGAAATGATACTGTTAATAATTGCGATACTAATGATGGCGGTTGTGATGGTAATAATGTAGGAGAGCGACTGTTAAATGAAGGGGGTGAGGGGAGGGGTCTATACATGTAAGTGTATTTAACACAACATTAAATAAAAGAAATTAAACTTAAGGAACCGTAAAAATGTTTCTCTTTCTTTTTTGCAGATATGTATGTATGTTTTGCGTTCATGTCTTTTACGCAAAACACAACGCTTTTTTTGCCTTTGCAATATAAATTAAACAAAACAAAATGTGAAACTCAAAAGTTATGCTATTTTCTCTTACTCCTTCATTTATTTAGAGGCAACTTTCGTTTGTTTCTTGTAAATGTATTTATTGTTTTCATTTTTTCTGTTTTATTTTCATTTAGCACTGGAAGATGAAATATGTACATTCAATCTTATAATTAAATTTCATTTATGTATATATATTTTTGTTTTAATAATTATGTGCAATTATTGTTTTATGGTCTAGTATAGGAAACTTACGTCTAATAATAAATTTACAGTTGGTTGGTTGCATCCAAATAGCAGCAATTTATGTTATTGTACAACAACATGCCAAGTACAAATTGCATTGATGTTTTTCAAAATCCATAAAATAATTAAATTTGAATGGTTTATGGTGGAACAAGGAAAGTATATTTTCGTTTTTTTTTTCTTTTTGTTTAAATGTTTATAATAATTAATATTAATTCAAATTTAAAAGTTCAATATCAAACACATTACAGAATTTAAGTCGTTTTTTATTGGTCTATATAACTGTAATACACTGTTTGTAAAATTAATTGTTATTATGTATTTTAAAATACTTTACATCACTCTTGAAGAGCTTCACTTGCAGATTTTTTAAATTTACAAAATTTTCAGAATTATAATTATATGTTTAAAATACTTTTGCCATCATAAACAGCGATGATATTTTACATCCAATTAATAAGCTATTGATATTAATAGGAATTTGAAATTGTAGACATATTATAATGAATACACATTTTGTTTTTATTCGAAATAGTCAGGATTAATCCCAGTTTGTTGTTGTAACGCCTTGACGTATTTAAATAACCAGAGTTTTTAAGTAATATGAATTTGCAATCATGTGTCATAATAACCACAAGTTGGAATTAATACAATTGGTATCCCAAACAAAATTAATATTAATTTTTTTAATTAATCATCCACAGCGCATTCTACAATTGTTTTAATTAACTAGCGAACTGTCAACATTGATTTGTGTATAAATATAAATACCACATTTTGGAAATTAAAATGAAATGCTTGTACGGAACAACAAACCATTACATTTTCCCATTCTTCTACGCCTTTTTCCCATGTTATTCCAAACATATCATATGTAATTCGAGAATTCCATTTGTAATTCACAACATATAATTTGCAATTTGAGAACTTGATTTTGGAATTCAAAACATATCAGTTGTAATTCGAGAATTTCATTTGTAATTCATAGAATACCTTTCGAATCTCATAGAATTCCATTTGAAATTCATAGAATTCCATTTAAAATTCCAAGGATTGCATTTGAAATTCATAAAATTTAATTTGAAATTAATTAAATTCCATTTGAAATTCAAATAATTCCATTTGAAATATATAACATTTCATTTGTTATTCAGAATATTTAAAATAATATTGGTAACACACACAGAATATGTATGAATTTGAAATGAATTGTTAAGAATTACAACTGAAATAGTGAAATGTTATAAATTTCAATTTGAATTCTTTAAATTTTAAACGGATTTCTTTGAATTTCAAATGAAACTCTCTTCCAATGTTAATATACCAATTACAAATGATTTTTTTTTAATTTCAAATGCAATTTGATTTTCATATGAAAAGTTTGAAATTACAAATGAAAAGTTGTGAATTACCAATTACATTTTCGAATTACAACTGAATGTTAAGAATTACAAATTGAGTTTCCGAATTACAAATGAATTGCAATTGAAATTCTTGGAAAAACATATGAAAACGGTATAGTCAAGATTGGCAGTCATCTGACTTAAATGTTATTTACAAAACCATTGTGAATATAATTGCATATTATATCACATATAGAATTACAAAGACTTAACATCTTCAACATTTAAAATCAAATCAACAATTACTTTATAAATAGCAGTATTTATTTTCGAATCAATAAACAGTGTGTGCAGTTGTTTGTTAATGTCGATGTCGATTGTGTCATAATTGTACGACCTTATTATCGATAGTGAAATAAAAACAAATTATTTGGCGCATAAATATTAACAACTTCTACAGCAATAACAGAACAATTTCAACACAACAATGTGTTAACATTCCGAAATAATTGTTTTGGCAATTTCACAAGAATAACCACGTCATATAATATCATCAATGGCAATTAATTGGCCATAAATAATAATTAATTAATATATACATTTTTGGTCATTCTTTATAGATGTCAGGAATAACCACCATTTGCGTACAAGTGCTACAATGACATAGAAAAAAGGTTAGCCAAAAATGGCTAGAAATTCAACCTGCGAATTATAAAGCAAAAACAGTTAAATTTATAGTTTCGGCTCCTGCGGCATAGCAGAGTGATGTAAAGTAACATTTGTCAGCGATATATAATAATAATTATTATTAGTTTTACCCAAAAAATCGGAAATACTCCATGCAGTTGTGTCAAATATTCCTTGCTCCACACAGTGACAATCGATTATTTACAGTTATTGATTGTTCTCAGTGAATATCCTGGTATTTAAAAGTTTAAAATCACATTGTTGATTGCTGCTATTTGAAATGCTCACAACATATTTTTACTTTCACCCCCCATAGGGGTCTTGGGAAATTGTGTTATCTTTTTTACATAAACTAATTTAATTTCGTATATTTTTCCATTTTCATTGAAATTAATTTAATTATTTCTTTACAAAATTATTATCTATTTACGCATACACTATCACATTCCTGTTAATACGCAACATGTTGCATATCTTTACACATTTTTTTGGGGGCTAGGGTTTTGAGAGTTTAATTGTTTCCTCTATTTTTTGTTGTTGTTGTTTTTTGTTTTTGGTGTCCCATATATCAGTCCACATATTCTGACTTATGCCTAAGGATTTTTACAATTATTGCTTTGACCAAAAACATGTACTGGCACAGGCGGCCGGGATGCAACTAAAATTCAGTCAGGCGCATTTGAGATGCTGTCAGAGGCAGCACCCCTCTATCAATTTGAAGAACAAAGCTGGGGTTGAGAGTTTCGGAAAGTTTGGTGCTCTGCTTACACATCAGTTCCGCAACCTTCTTGATAACCTTCGTCCGGCGAATTTCGACTTGTTGTGCTAATCAGCGCTCGTTTTATTGCTGTGACTGGAGGAAGAACAGGAACACCACCCTTTTGCCAGACACGTATCGTTTTGGCATTGACCGATGTATTGTTGTGATTTGTTGTTATATTATTGTGTATGGGAGACGTTCGGGAACTTGCAGCATCCAGGCTTGTGTTGTGAGGTCTCTGACGTGGCAGTGTCCGGCTGGTGAATGGTGGACTACTTGTGCTCGTGGTTCCAGTATAACTACTTGAGGTTAGCGTCGCTCGACACAATGGATTGCTAGCACCTGGGCGACCCAATGTTCCGCCCATCAATTGTTTTTGCAGTGGATTCATTTGTAAATGATGCTGCAGCTGCAGTTCAGCACCGGGCACTACCGGCAGTCCATAATCATTTGGATAGCCTCCCATTCCGCCCATGATTCCTGAACCGGAGTTTGAGAGGTTCGTCGTTGTAGTTGATGCAGTGGATTCAGTGTTCATTTGACAACTGCCATCGTTCGAGGGGAACGTATGGTTGAAGGAGGTGCGTGGAAAGGTTTTACTGAAATTATCCGCACTGCTGCCGCTTTCGTGTAAATCGTATAACTGAGTACTATCCATAATGGGTGTTTTGTCCGAATATCGTCTTAAAAACAGATCATCTGCCGATGACGTGGTGCATGCAGCCGCGCTTATGTCTTCCCACAATCCAGATGGATAGAGGGAATCACAGCCACCAGCTCTTTTGTATTCTCCATTAGTGCTGAGGCCTGCTAGTTCCGAGTTCAGAGCTTTGGTCAAAATTGGAGGAATTTTCAGATCGGTGAACTCATCACCCTCAAAACGTTTGGTATCGTTGATAAGGTCTGGATTGTTGCCGGCCGACGCGGTGGGCGAAATGAAGCAGGGTGCCGTAGACAGAACACTGCCATTTGTGGAATAGCTCATGTCAGTCAGTCGTGGTGGCTTCTGTAGTGGATTGGCACTTTGTGTTGAAGCCGAGTCCTTTTCGCTAGGGTCCATTTCGTCGGTTATAATTTTGGCTTCACCACTGTTTCCATTGCCCGAGCCCATGGTACCATTTACGCCATTCGCTTGTGTTTTGTTGCCGATCATGTTTTGCTGGTTGATGCTAGTTATCACCTCCATATTATTGGGAGTTTTCGAGACACTGTAGGGTTCGCGCTTCAGTCGCATCATCAAGAACATAACAAATATAAGGACAAATATTATCAATATAACCAGAGCTGCACTCAGACCCACAATCTGGCCACTGCCCAGTGATGCCATTCCAGCTGCTCGCATACGAACGTGTAATGTGAAATTGGCCTCTGAAGAACCGGCACGATTTTCAGCCACACAATAAAATTCACTCGAATCTATTTCTTGGGCATTGGTCATTACCAGGCGGGATGTCTTCTCAAATCCGCCATGTTCCAGAATGTGAAGTCTTTGATGCGAACTGAACGCTGTGTTATTGCTTAAGAGGCGTCCATTCCAGTACCAGTTCACAACAGGGGCCGGTATGGCTTTGGCGCGACAAAGAATGGAGGCGTTCTCACCCATTGTGGCCTCAACATAATGAGATGATGGTAAAATTTCAGGTTTACAGGCAAAGTCGTCTATACTTAGGTCGGCAAAGGATTGATCCAACACGCGCTCCGGGCCTCCTCCACACACAGGTGCCACTGGGTATGGAATATTCTTTTGCATTAGCCACAGCTTGGCATCACGCAAACGACAATCACACATCCAAGGATTATCGTGCAGTTCGATGCCATGCAAACGACTCAAGGTCTCTATGGTCTTCGGTACCAGTTCGCTCAACTTGTTTCCATTTAAACGCAACAGGGTGAGGCCCTCCAAACCCTCGAAGGCCTGGGGGGCTATGGTCTGTATGTCGCAGTGCGACAAATCTAATTTATGCAATGCCGGAGTATCCACAAATGCGTTCGACTCAATCTTCTGTATGCGATTCGAGGCTATGGTCAGATCTCTCAGCGAGGAAATATAACTCAGTGCCATTGATGGTACATTGAAGAGGAGGTTTTGAGACAGGTCTAGTTCGACCAGATTTGTGAGTCCCTTAAACGTCTGCGGCTCAATGTGTTCGATGCGGCAATTACGGAGATACAATTTTTGCAAGTTGAGGAGATTCATGCGCACGAATTGTTCGTTGAGCAAGGTCTGCAGGCGATTGCCTGACATATCCAGGACCTGAGTGGACGGATCAATGTTACTGGGTATTTGTTTCAATTGACGATCGATGCACTCCACCGTCTGTTTGCCACCTTTCCATTTACAGGCGCACACAGTTTGGCAGGTGCTCATCTGTTGGTGATTGACAATGACCGTGTTGTCTGGCGCATTGGGTTGGGGAAATTGCTCTTCGTATTCCTCAGATAATGTGGGACTCTCCATAAATGATAAACTGCTACTGACTGCCATATTATCTGAAGGTTGCTGCTTACGGGCAGCTATATGGCGCGAACTTGAGCCATAATGACGATGCTGCTGATGATGATGCGACATATCGGTGGGATGAGATGATGCGGAAGCAGAAGAATAGGAAGACCCGGCCGCTGATGACGAAGCCAATGCTTTGGTGAAATGATACGATGAACCGGAACCGGCATAATGTTTCATTTTTTGAGCACGTCCATAGTGTGACGTTAATGATGAGGACGAAGAACGGGAGGAAACCCCCCCGAACACCATAGATGTTAAATGCAGGACAAGCAAATGGATTAGAAATGTCATCTTCCAATGTTGTGTCATGTTTGTACGTTTCCTTAATGACTATTGACATCAAACCAACGAACGAACGAAACTGAAAAGGGTTCGTTAGCAAGCACTGGTATCCTGTTATCCTTATTTTGTGGGGGCTGGGACGCAACCCGTGTTTCCGTTTCCCTAATTTTGTTACACAACAAGCACCAGATGATTATTTTTATTTGGGAAGTTTGTTTCGTTTTAATGGATTCGAAAGCACATCTTCTTCTTCGAAGAAATTATATAACTTGGTGTTGTGACTTTACGGTTTTTGTTTGGGTACACATTCTGTCATGGGACTAAACTACACTTAATTTGTGAATATTTTCTTAATTACTTTATAACTTTGAGCATATTTTAAAAATGAGATCTTTTTTTAGGTTATGTTGCCTTAACAACTTTTTACTTTTGGTTTGTTTTGCATTTCTATTTTTCTTCTTTTTGTTTGGGGATTTATTTTCATAATAAATTTTCGCCATTAATCATATTTTTTCTTATTTTTGCTGTTGCTATTTATTTTTTGTTAATATAATTTTTTGTTGTTGCAGAAGCATTTTGTTTTTCATTTAATTGGTCTGGTTACGGTAATTAATATTGCCAACAACTTCTTTCTTTGTCGAATGCCATTCTACTTCGGTGCATCTCACATTCGCGTAGGCCCACACCGACACAAGGCAATGGGCACTTGCACACCGTCGTATTCCATCACCACCGCACAACCGTTTTTCATTTTTCTTCTTCTTTTTAATGTTTTCAGGTTTTACGCAATTTTTCGTATAATTTATGCCAAATCCGTTTTAGAATTTTTCAAGCGTATCCGTTTTCCTTTTTCCGATTTACTATTCCGTTTCGCACTTTAATTTATTCTCTATTTTGTTTTTTAGTTAACTGGTATTTTTGTGTTGCACGCGTATTCGTCGATATGTTTTTTTTTATGAATGATGATGACGATTACGATGATATGCTTGATTGCTTTTTTTTTTTTTTTGTTCTTAATGTTGTTGGTTTTTTATTTTGCCTATTCTCTTTTTATCTGTAGCATGTTTTACATGCTAGCTTCTTCTTCATCTTTATATATGTATGTATGATATTCTGTGAGATATGTATTTAAGTTATGATTTTTAGGGAACGCTCAGTAACGACGGCTTTGAACACCCAACCATCGGCAATGGCTAATCGAAACGAACTGAATTATCATCGTCCAAGTCAAGGCAACGTCTGTGTGCCTCGTTTTACATCTTCATTTCGACCAGTCATGCGTGCCACACAACATCAGCAACAAACACCATGTGGAGAGAGCCCTGAGTGATGTTTGGGTGCTTTCCAGATGGAATGTTGCCAGCGAAGTAATACAGACAGTGCAACATTCGACCAGAATTTACTCAACATTCGACCAAAAAAATGAAAAGGAAGTGATATATAATTTTAACAACTTTTAATATTTCATACACTTTTTCACATAATAAGGGATCCGATCCATTTGAACGTATTAATTGAATATGCATAGATTTTTTCTCAATTTTTCTAATTTTTTAATATCGAACTTAGTCTCTATATCGGCTGGAGGAAGCCATAACTGGTGAAGGATCATGAATTTATGACCCATTGTCGGGTTTTAAAGGTCAGATTATATTACGTAATATTGTCCCTAAATTATGTTTTTGTCCAAATTATTGATCCTAAGTAAGCATATAAATGTTCTGGCAATTATCTTCTCTTCTAATAAGAGTTAATTCTGAATTCCCGAAATTGATATATTTTTTGTGTACAATTGAATATAAAGTTTGCTCTTTGTAAGAATATCAAAAGTTGGATGAGTTTTTTAATAATAATTGTTGCAAGAATCTACTAGATTTTACTATTTTCTTCGATATCATAAAGGAAAATTCGTTACCGTAGTAAAAGGTAGTAGATTCTTGCAGTACGGGAACAGACCAGAAGTAAATCGAATTGAAGGTAGAAGGCAAATAGACTAAAACTCCTTGTACATTAAAACTTTTACCGGGTTAACCTACTTTATGAGGATTTATTTGACGTATATGCAAAGGAATAGACAATTGAAACCCACTGGGTTAACGAAATCCGGTTAAATGTAAACGCACTATAATATTATTAATCGAAATTTATATTATGTCAATATTTTACAGTCGTACCTGCAAATACTTGATCAAACTAGATCTATGTAATGCCATGTTCAGACGGGCATTCGAACAACGTAGTTCGCTCTCAGTATTACGTACACGAATTAACACGTTCATACAACACTATTCTTAATTCAGTCATCAGAGTTTTTTTATTTCAAACTTTTTGTTTCTTTTTTACACCAAAATTGTAACATATTTGCGTGAATCACATATGGATCTACATAGAAAAAATAATTCTTTTTCTCCTGACTATAATATCAACCCCTATCTCTTTACTTTCAATTCATGTTTTCCATTTTTCCTGAAAATATTGTTGTTTTCAATACATTTTTATATTTTCTCACCTCAAATGTCAAATTTAAAAAATTGGAGAATTTTTGTACAAAAGTAGGTGTTCGCTCAGACAATTTTGTATGGGGAACTAAGTAATTACTTCATAATTAAGAGTCGAACAACGAATGAGAGAGCGAACAACGCTCGTCTGTACATGGCATAAGATTTACAAATTATGATGTTTAAAGTTTCGATGAAATACGATATACCCTGCATATGAGATTTAAATGTTTTTAAAAATATTTCCCCTTGCGAGAAGATACTAAAAGAAGTGGACCGATAAGTCCCATCTTCCAATATTATAAAGGCGTTGTTAAAATATTAGGCTGTGAAAAGTGTTGTTCCAATCGGATAAGCCGTTTTCATGATATTATGAAATTAATTTTAAGCAATATTTTGACCATTGTGTGAGGAGTGGACCGATGGCCATTTTCAAACATGATTTAAGTTTGGAAAAATATTACGATGTAAAAAGTTTGGATGTAATCGGTTAGTACCTTCGAGAGTTAGTCGGACAGACTAGACGGACGGACATTTGTAAATCGACTCCAAACTTCCTGAAACGGATTTGGTTCAAAAAACATAAGTTCTAAAACCAGTACATCGATTGGAATGTGGAATACCAAACATCAGCTTTTGGTAGGAAAATGTACAGCAATTTGGTCGGGATATTAATATGGAGATTATGCCCAAAACATAGACCGATATAGAGTAACAAACACCCTTATTTGTGTGTTTATTTATACATATTTGTATATGAGGCATTCAGCGTACACTTCACTTTTTGAAAAACCTTAAATTTATATTTAAAATACCTTGATATTGTTGTAGCTTTTTATATTTATAATATTCTTCTTCCCTATTATTTTACCTAAATATTACCATCTCTATGCTTTCTACGTTATAAAGGTGAATTGATATTATAAAGGAATTTTGAAAACAACACAAATTTCATCGACGCTTTTCTTATGTTATCGTTTTAGGGAGTTAAACGATGTGTGCACTGAGCGACTCATATATGGTAGCTTTTAATCACGACAATAATGACTTCGACATTACACCATATACATAATTTATCTATCTATATATCCATTCACTCATCCACCCAACCCAAAATGCAGTGGTTCGTAACATCTTAAGATAGTTACGCTTTCTTACTGCTGCGACACATCACATCAATTGTTGTCGTAGGTTAGTTGTGTTGTGTTGCATGTTTACGACACTAATTATTTGGTGAATGAGTTTTGATTTTTTTTTTAAAGAAACTTGTATTGCAATTTTTACATTGAAGGAAAAGGCTACGTTCGTGTAACATTCTATACCAATGTTTGTTGTTTTCAGGATAAGTAACTTGGTTATATCGAATCGAATTAATAATATAAAAAATAATTTACTTTAAGCAAAGTTATTTTTTAACGAGCATTATATTTATGTATTTCCTTCCAAAAATTCATTTTATTTTGAATCGTATAGTTGTATTTTTATTTTCGTTGAATATATGGTTCGGAAAATAGCAATAAGATCACCCATTACTATTTTAGAGTTTTATTGAAAATATTTTCTTGTTTTAAACTCTGAAAACAAGACAAAACTGTGTATAGAATAATTTGTTTATATAAATAAAAAGTTTTTTGGGTACGTGCTCCCAATGTCGGCATGTACCTATAGCCGTCATCTGTTGTATATAAATTCAAATAACTATAGAATCATATAACCAAAAATACCTTGAATAATCTTCAATAATATTGCAACTAATCTCTGTGTAAAATTTAATTGAGCTAACATTACATATTTTCAGCAAAATTTTGCATTTTGTCAAAGAGGGGTTTCAACACTAGCGATAATTCATGTTTCTTAATAAAAAAATAGTGGGCATGTCGATTTTAAAAGACTTGTAACTATATTAAAATTATATATTATTCACAAGAGCATACAGTTTTCCGATAGTCGGTATATAGGTGAATAATAAGCACCTTTTCGATCATTTTTGAAACAATTTAAAATAAGTGTCCTAATACCGATTAATTTATTAAAAAAGTGGAGATTTCAACACTAGCGATTATTCATGTTTCTTAATAAATAAATAGTGGACATGTCGATTTTAAAAGATTTGTAACTATATTAAAATTATATATTATTTACAAGAGCATACAGGTTTTCCGATAGTCGGTATATATGTGAATAATAAGCACCTTTTCGATCATTTTGGAAATAATTTTAAATAAGTGTCCTAATACCGATTAATTTATTAAAAAAGTGGTTTCACATAATAGAGGAAATGGTTTTAATCTTAAATCCCTTTAATCTCTGAAATGCGTAATTTAGCAAATTCCGAGAATTCGATAACAGGTTCCCAAAGTCGACTTCATGTTTTACAATTGTAATATTTTAATAAATACAATTATTTTATATAAATTTGTCAATAAAACACTGGAAGACTCGTCCTATAAAAATCATTTATTAATGCAAATATCAGAAAAATCGATTAAATATATATTTTTTGTTTAACTTAAAGTTCCTGCTACTGGTGCACTTACCATATATAGTTGACGCTCGGTATACAAAGTTTTATTTACGTTGCAACTACACATATCGACGTCTCCGAACCATAGTATGCTAAGTCGATTTAGCATGTTTTAAAGTTCTTTACATTTTTAGATACTACGGTCCTTAATTTAAATTCCCTGAAATGTTGGTAATCATCGGCCAATCCAAACCAAAGTTATAAGCAAAAATGTACTTAGCATGGCACGTAAGATTAAAGAAACTTCCATACATTGAGAGCTTCTGCTGAAAAACTCACTTTTCAGACTTAGCACAAATCTATGTTATCACAAAAACCTCGTTGCACAGAATAAAAAACAATTCTGTATCACCAAAATGCAATTTTAAATTGTACGAATACACCAACTGCTAAATAATAGTTATTTTCTAATTATAAAATTTACGGTTTAATTGAAATGATTTATCGTTGGAAGTAATTACTTTGTTATGGATGAAACTAACAGCAGTTACATATTGTAAAATCATTTTTTATTTTCATAAAACAATTCCATTGTACAATAAACTAAATAATAAAATATGTACACTATGTTTTATGATTATAGCATCAAATACAATTGTCATTTCTTTCTTAATTCTAGTATTTCCCTATTAACACCTTCTGTGGATAACCACAACGATTTGAATGTAAATCGTTTGTCCTTTTCGATTAATTGCTCAAATTGGCGTAATCCTCCGCCCACTCCGAAGTAATAGGTTTTTGCAGCTACATAAACTTTTCCGTCCACTTTTAGTTTATCATGCAGGCAGTTAAGCAACTTCTGTTGATTGTCTGGATTATATATAGTTTCGGAGGTAACAATAATATCATATAATTTGTCACATATTTGCGAACTGCACCACTTTTCCCAATCACCTGAAAAATAACGAGTTTTCTCAAGTAATTTCTCGAAATCATAAATGTCCTCATCATCATCATCGGATTGTTGCAATGTATTTAAAACCACATTCGGTATTGTGATGTTTTCAAGCACATCCTTATTCTGGAGAAAAGGGGAAATCAATATAATTAAAAAAATGCATTACTTTATCTGCCTACATACATAGTCATGAAAAGTAACTTTTGCTCCGTTGTTGAAAGCATAAATGCCCAGAAGTCCAGATCCACAGCCTAAATCCAATACATATTTATCTTTCCATTCCGAGGTAGAAATGTTTTCTGCAAAGTACATCAACAGATCGTCGGTACATTCCCAGATCTTTGCCCCACCCTCATACACTGCCGGTATAAGATCCGAATGATTTTCTTCGGCCTTCTTTAAATCGGTGACCTCGTCACCTTCGTTATTCTTTATATCTTCCAGAAGAAAACCCGAAACCATATAGCGAAGGGCAACGCTTTTGTAGTCTTTGCTCAAAGAGTTTAATTTGCAAATGTCGATGTTTTCCAAGATATCTTCGGTCGGTTTTATTTCCTCCGATTTGTACCAATCTTTGTTGGAACATTCTTCAGCAACCGTTATTCTGCAATGAAAACCAATACTTTACAACTCAAATGAACATGATTTATTTTAGATGGTTGTACCCTTTACATTCAGTGGATACTTCGCCATTCTCCAGTGGAATGTCACCAGTTTCCGACTCAATTTTGAAGTCAAACTTAAACATTGTTTACATCGAGAGAGCAACTAATATACAACTAATTGTTTTTGTTTACATTTTCCCACGTGCGTGATTGTGTCATAAGCAAATGCTCGGATCTATGAGAATAGTGAGTAAGTGAGAGATAGACAAGCGTGGCGTACCACGTATAATTTTCATTACCGAAGCGTAACTACCATTAGGTAAATTTAACTGAAATTACATTTTCATATCAAAATTGACACTTTCTAAAATAACACTCAACTCAACATATGATTTAATAGCCTTGTAGAAAGTTAAACAATTTTTTTTAACAATACATCAAGTTAGTTGCCTCAGATGTGCTATGGTTGCGTATGGAACATTTTTCAGTTAATTCGGCATGTGTTGAATAACCGAATACCAAATAATTACATGTCGGAAAAGTAATCACGACACAGCCAACAAAGTGGATTGGTTTTTCGGCAAACGTTGTTAATAACTGCATTTATAAATAGGAAAAGTTCTTCGTTTCTCAATAAATATGTCAGATCCTTATGGAGAGGTAAGTTGCTCGAACAATTTGCATGTGGACATTTCGTTAATACAATTCCTGTTCTAGCGTACTAATTTGCCGCCTATCGGAAATGGAGCACCACCACCGCCATTGATGCCGTTGCCGCCAGGCATGAGGCCACCTGCTCCTACATTTTTACCAAATATACAGCAGATTCCTCCACCACAACCTTGGCACAACACAGCTCCGCCTGCAGAACAAAATACCAATCAAGTTCCGCCACCACCTCAACAGCAGCAGCAACAACAACAACCGCCTCCTGTTATCAATCAAAGCGAAGTAAATGGCAATTCTGATTCTGGAGATGGATCTTCCAATGGAGAAAGTGTAAATCAGGATGGCAAAGAGAACACTAAATGCCCTGAAGTAGTCTTACCTAAAGCATTGGAAGATGTGTTAGCACTAAAGGATCAGAGAGCAGCCGAGTTTGATGTAAATACTGAAGATTTCTCTAATGTCGACAATACTGTTCAGTCATCTGGCAATGCTTCGGGTGTCATAAGTAACGATTATGCCGATGCAGGAGAAGACTCTGACGATGAAGGCGAAAATCTTGTAAATGGCAGTGCGCCATCTAAACCAGGAAAGCTTAGTAAAGTCGAGAAGAACAAAAAGAAAAAACGACGCAAGAAGCTAAACAAGCAACTTAAACGGCAACAGGAGCAAGCTAGAGTAGAAGAGAAATCTAAGGAGGGGGAGGCTGTTGCAGAAGATGCCGAAGACAATCCAGAGAAACAGAAAGAAGACAATTCAGAAAAAGAAGGAAAATCTAAGGAAAGCAAATCCAAACACAGCGACAAAAGGAAAGAAGCTGAATCTAGTACCAATGACACTGATGATGTCGAAGCCTCAAATGAAGATGTTACCATAGAGTAAGAAACTATTTCACAAGTATATAATGAGCGGTGTAATATTGTACTCTTTCTTCCTTAGGTATGTACCGGAAAGAATAACAATTGCCGATTTGGCACCTATGTATCGTCAGTTCTATAGGGTATTTGAGATTTTCAAATTAGAAAACAAACCCAAGGTTTCGGAAAAAGAGAAGGCAGCAGCTGAGACTGCCGAAGCAAATTCCAATCAGAAAAAGCCCTTAAGTCGAGTTCCAGAAGAAGAAGAGGAGGATGCAGATGAAGATAAGATTGAAGACAAGGAAAAGTTGTCAAAACGAAAGTTAAAGAAACTTACACGTCTCAGTGTGGCTGAACTCAAACAACTTGTCTCCAGACCAGATGTAGTTGAAATGCATGATGTCACTGCCCGAGATCCCAAACTATTAGTACAACTCAAGGCCTACCGCAATACGGTACAAGTGCCAAGACATTGGTGTTTCAAAAGAAAATATCTGCAGGGAAAGCGTGGTATTGAAAAACCACCATTCGATCTGCCCGCCTTCATTAAGAAAACAGGCATTATGGAAATGCGCGAATCGCTCCAAGAGAAAGAGGATGCCAAATCTTTGAAGAGCAAAATGCGTGAACGCGTACGTCCAAAAATGGGCAAAATCGACATTGACTATCAGAAATTGCACGATGCCTTTTTCAAGTGGCAAACAAAGCCCAAGATGACTATACACGGCGACCTTTACTATGAAGGCAAGGAGTTCGAGACACGCCTAAAAGAAAAGAAACCAGGAGATTTGTCTGAAGAATTGCGTATAGCACTGGGTATGCCTGTTGGCCCCAATGCCCACAAAATTCCACCGCCATGGTTAATCGCTCAGCAGCGTTATGGACCTCCGCCATCTTATCCCAATCTAAAGATACCTGGTTTAAATGCCCCCATTCCCGAAGGCTGTTCATTCGGTTACCACGCTGGTGGTTGGGGTAAACCACCTGTGGATGAAAACGGCAAACCCTTATATGGAGATGTTTTTGGAACAAATATTGTGGATATGGATGTGAGTACCAGCACCCACTTTTCTATACAAAGTTCACAGAAATGTTTTGTTTTATTTTAGAATGGCATAGATGAAGGTGACATTGAACGCAATCAATGGGGTGAATTAGAATCTGAATCGGAGGAGTCTTCGGATGAAGAAGAAGAGGATGGTGAAGATATGACTAATCAACCCGATGAGAGCGGATTAGTAACTCCGGCTGAAGGCTTGATTACGCCATCTGGCCTAACAAGTGTGCCGACAGGAATGGAAACACCAGAAAATATTGAATTGCGTAAAAAGAAAATTGAGCAGGAAATGGAAGAGTAAGTATCAAGATTTATGTAGACTCAGTTTTTTCTATAAAATTGCATTCCTTCTCTCTTCAGCAATGAAACGCCTGTTTTGTATCATGTGTTGCCTGAAAAACGTACTGACCGCATTGGTGCATCGATGATGGGTTCGACACACGTCTACGATGTAGGAGGTGTCAAACAGACAGCAGCGAGAACAACTGTTGCTTCAGGCCGAGAAGGTACGGTTGAATTGGCATTGGATCCTTCAGAATTAGATATGGATAATGATGCAATGGCTCAACGGTACGAACAGCAAATGCGCGAACAACAGAATCATTTACAAAAGGAAGACTTGTCGGATATGTTGGCGGAACATGTTGCTCAGCAGAAATTCAAACGCAAGCGTCAACAAGCAGACCCAGCCAAGACAACAAAGAAATATAAAGAATTCAAGTTTTAAATATTCACACACCAGTAATTCGATTCATTTAGTCATAATTATGAATAAACATAACGTAGACCCATATCTATGTGCTCTACCCTTACCCAATTCAGGGATATACAAAAAGAAGCGGATAATGCATTCATGTAACCTTGTAGAACGATGTAACCACGGAACACAGTTCTTATTCTGAAATAAAGGACAATGTTCCACAAAACACCAATAAGTACACGCAGTCTTTAATTTGTTTGGTTATATTTAGATTTTTTTAATGCTATGAATTCTTAGTTCATAATGCTCTGACTCTAAACTGCTGTCATTTACTTAAAAAAGTTTATTTCTTGATTTTGTAAAAAATAATCTAAAATAATCATGTCCACACTTACCGCGCTTATTATTCGGTAAAAAGAACCATATATTACGTGATTATAGTACGAAACTAGAAATGCTTGGAAAACAAACTAATATTCAATATACGCAAATGATATTCAAAATGATATTGATGTGAAACATACATCCGGTGTGGTATTTGTGATTCCTCATCAAAGCGTACTTTTATAAATTATATTAACTAGACAATCTGCCCAAATCATTCTTCCATTTGTTCGTTCAATTGAGCTAACAAGGCAGCCCTTTTCGACTCTAACTCTGTTTCACTTAGCGCCTGTTCATCGTTTCGTGAGCTGTGGGAACGATTGCTGGCAGCGGGACTAAGAGGCGTAACGGAACGTTGTTTATCGTGGTGATGCTTGCGTTCTTTATCTCTTTTATTCTTTTTGTCTTTCTTCTTTTTCTTGGGCTGTGATGCCAAAAGTTCTTCTATGGCTAAGGTTGTCGGTGATCCGTTCACAGAATGAGCACGTTCCGATTCACAGGATGACTACAAAGAGAAATCAAACATTAAACACATCGTAATAAAAGAATACTTCGTACTCACGTCTCTGGAAGATTTCTTGTTCTTCTTCTTTTTCTTCTTTTTGGAGACTCTGTCTATACTATCAAGGCTAACACTTGAACTAACCGATATCTAGATAAAGTTAAAGATATACGTTAATATTGCAATATAAAGATCTAATAATATGATACTCTTACCGATCTTGAACGTGATTTTCTTTTCCGCGTTCTTTCAATTTCGGCGGGATCATTTTCAATATCCTGTGAAAAAAAAAACAACAGAAGAAAATGTTAGTCTATTTCTGAAGGCATTGTAATAATTCTATTTACATACAGATCGCGAGCTGGAACGCAGGCGTTTTTTGTGTTTTTTATTCTTTTTGGATTTCTTTGACCGTGAGTGATGATGCGTACATGCATCTTCACTTTCTCTAACAAAATCATCCCAAATCTTGCGAACTCCAAGTTCTTTTTCATAGATAGCATACGCTTCTAAGTGCTCTACAAGTTTCTGTGCAGACTCAAACGGTTCGTGTGGCGATACGTTCGCTTCCAACCATGCAGCCTTGATTTCATTCTCCAATTTTCGCAAACGTTTGGTTTCCTCTTTCAAACGTTCCTTTTCCAATGCCTCTGCCTTTTCAAGCAAGGAATTATATGTAAGCTTAACATTGCCTGCATCTAAAGTAGCAGATCGTTTGTCTTCACAGACGACGGTGGCAAAGTCTTCGAATGTTGTGCTGGCCTTTACTGTAAACTGCTTCTCCTTTAGTATTTCCTTGATAATTTTCTTTTCGTCGTGATAGCGTGCTTTCAGGTCTTCAACATAAAATTTGAAAAGATCTAGAGGTGTTGATCCGGGCTGTCCCAACATTGCAGAAAAACGAATGTCAGCCGAAATAATAGGGTAGAGTTCAACCCATAACGACATTGAAGTAAGTTTCCCCTCCTCGTGCAGTGAATCCAAAAGTGTAAGGAAGTTATCCCTGTTTTTCCGTTGCTGTCTCTTTTGCCTCTTCTTTTCCCTTTCTTTGTCTTCATCCTCCTCACGTTCAAGTGTGCGTATATGTTCCTCAAACACTATGAGAGCATCCTCCTTGTCCATGCCCAGTAGATTGACATCATTCTTGAAAGCGGAATTCTCTAAAAGCATTACTTGAGCTTCAGCCCATGTTGTCGAATATGTTATAGATGCCATTGATTCCAACAGTTCACCTAACACTTTCATGTTTCTCTTTTTCATCATACGAGCCTCTTCTTTTTCACGTTTTGCCAAATTGAAAATGCAGTCCTCGTAAATGTCTCTACGATCTGGCTCCGGAACTGATGTCCAAATTCTGTTGTTTGCAAATAACTCTTCACATTTATAGTACCGTAGTGTTGAATTCATTTTGTCACTAGTCATGAGAAACTTTTCCAGATCCTCTTTAGCCTTCTTAGCTTTAAGACGCGCCTCTTCCTTCTCATCTTTTAGTTTCTGAGTTTTGTAAGCGTTGAAGGTCTGTTTCTTTTCATTTAAATGCTTGAAGGAGCTATAGCGTGGATCCTTTGAAAGGATCTTGACACATTGATCCCAATTTGCATTGGAGGGAACGTTCTTCTCTTTTAACAGCTCCTTAAAAGCTTCAATGGCTTCTTTTTTGTCTTTAAAAACAAGCTTGTTTTCATCTGGTGACTCCTTCTTATCTGAAAACAATTACAAGATTGATAACAGAAACCAAATAGCATACGACATTATTTTAATTACTTTCTTTATCCTCTTTGTTAGAGGCAGGAATTTCTATTGCAGCCAAGGTTGCAGCCATTGCCTGGTCCAATGCAGACGAAGAATTTTCATTGCTACCAGGAGTTAAGGGAGAATGAATATCGGGTGTATGAATTTTTGCTACTGTCGGTAATGTGGCAGGCAATATTTTGGCCAACGCTGCAGGAGGAACAATTCCAGCCAAACTGGAAGAGGTCATTGCCGCAACAGCTTTAGCCGCCGCAGCTGCCCTGAAACGAAAAAAACAAACTTATGTTAATCCGTTTTTTGGTATGTGAAAATCCATCTGCACTTACTCTTCAGCTTTTACTTTTGCCTGCATATCTAAAAATTCTGGAGGTGGATCCCATCTCGATTCTTTAGTGGTAACATTATGATAGTAGACTTTTCCGGCATCCGAACGATACTCCTTCCATGGACACTGATGCTTTAAGCGTTCTGCCGGCGTCATTAGCACCTCTGGCTTCTCCCAGGAACTTTGTTTGGTAATGTTGTTATAGTAATAGGGCCTGCCATCGGGTGCTTTGTGTTCTGTCCATTCTGTATTGGGCGGAGCTGAACCAAATGCTGCAGCCAATTCAGCAGGTGGTGGGGCTCCAAATCCAGGAGGAGGTATATTAAACTGAGGTACTACAGGTGGAAATGCCATACCACCCAATGCAGGAGGAGCGCCAGCTGCTGGTGGCAAATTCATTGCGGTACGTTTCTAGCAAACAACCAATGTTGACAAATTCTCACTTGTCTATTTTTCTCTCACCCCCAGTTTCTCTCTCACTGTACGTCGTCTGACAGCGTAGCTTTTTTCAGCATAACCTCAAACTGTCAATTGCAGCGTCTTTTTTGCCAACTCTTTTTACAACTATATGCTAGCAAACTTCACTATTTTCCAATATTTTATTCAATTTTGAATAGTTTTTTTAACAATGACCTAGATATTTACAACCTGTACATTGTTTTATTGGATAAAACACACAATTGGAAATTAGAGATACGCCGGATTATTTCGGAGACCACAATAAGGGATAACTAAGTCGATAATCGTTTCGACTCCTCGATTAATCGAAACGATTTGATTCAAATTTCTTTCTTATCGGTTAGGGATGTATAGTAGCGTATTTAATACGTACTTTATAGTTCCGTTCCAGAACATAAAATAATCTACTAATTTTACAAGTTTTTCAACTGTTTACTCGAAAACCGTTCCTCAACCCACAAAACTAGTAAATCTTTGAACCAAATTTAAGAGAACACAAAACAAAATGGCGTTATCTTTGTAAACTTTTTACTCGAGAAATTTGAACGAGTAAAAATGCTATTGATTTTGAAGTATTGCCATCTAATTTTGGAATATTTACTAGATTTGCGTTCCCGAACTTTTCACATTATTTTGTACTCTTAGAGCGATTTTGAAAGTTCTCCCTTTTACTAGCTTTACAGTTCTGGAACAGGCCATATATGATGTGGATTTACGAAATCCTGACAATAAATGAAGGTTATTTACACTGAAGGTTATTTCGGATTCCTCTTGCATGATAAGTGACAAAAACACTTCTGTCGGTCGGTGCATTATCTCCATATCGGTGGATTATCTCCTTAAAATGAAAAATAGAAAAATCTGATGACATATGTTGTTTTTAACATTCCTTATAATATGAATTCAACTACATAATGAAGAATCCATAATGAGGGTAATTTTTATTATTCAGATAAGTTATTATAAGTATACAATTTTATGACTATACCAAGAACTTTCATACTTAAATTTAATATTTTTCAAAAAGTGTAGTTATATATATAATAAATTGTACCAAATTTAGCCCACATTATTTCCAAGAGTACCCACCTCAACTATCCAAAAAAACTACATACCCCAAACCTTCAGCCCCACAGTGATCCTAAATCCAAGTTTCAGGATTCCAACTCTATCTGTCCACCCACAATTTAAATCGTACCAAATTAAGTACACATTAGTACGAATTTCCAATACCTCCTACCCCAAGCCCACAGTTATCCTAAATCCAAGTTTCAGGATTACTATTCTATCGGTTTACCCACAAATCAAATTGTACCAAATTTAGTACACAGTAGTACAAATTTCTAAAACTTTTACATATCTCAATCTTACACCTCAACAGTGATCTTTAAAATCTTTTAAAATCCACGCCTATTATCCTTAAATCTTTAAAAATCCACGCCTATTATCCTTAAATCTTTAAAAATCCACGCCTATTATCCTTAAATCTTTAAAAATCCACGCCTATTATCCTTAAATCTTTAAAAATCCACGCCTATTATCCTTAAATCTTTAAAAATCCACGCCTATTATCCTTAAATCTTTAAAAATCCACGCTTATTATCCTTAAATCTTTAAAAATCCACGCCTATTATCCTTAAATCTTTAAAAATCTTTAAAAATCCACGCCTATTATCCTTAAATCTTTAAAAATCCACGCCTATTATCCTTAAATCTTTAAAAATCCACGCCTATTATCCTTAAATCTTTAAAAATCCACGCCTATTATCCTTAAATCTTTAAAAATCCACGCCTATTATCCTTAAATCTTTAAAAAACCACGCCTATTATCCTGAAATCTTTAAAAATCCACGCCTATTATCCTTAAATCTTTAAAAAACCACGCCTATTATCCTGAAATCTTTAAAAATCCACGCCTATTGTCCTTAAATCTTTAAAAATTCACGCCTATTATCCTGAAATCTTTAAAAATCCACGCCTATTATCCTTAAATCTTTAAAAATTCACGCCTATTATCCTTAATAGTTCTTGAAAATAAGACACATTGATTTTTTTAAATTTAATTTTCATTCAATTTTTAATATTTTTTTTCTATTCAGATTTCATTATTCAAATCTTGAGGCTAAACAGGGCTTGACAAGATATGGCCTTCAGGTTGATATCCAAAAAATGAACATTTCAAGGATTTGAATGATTTCATCTACGAAAAATGGAGTCTTTCTTATTTGATAAAAATGCCAAGAATATTTGTCCACCTTTAAAATGTTTTCGAATAAAAAAGTCTGCAATAAAAATAAATATTGAATTAAAAACAAAAAACAGTGTTTTATTTACCATGGAAATGGTAGGGGTCTTCAATTACTTCCTTTCTCTATATGACGTCATCATTCGAGAATAAAAAATGGTCAGTTTTTCCTCTAAATTTTTTAAAAGTACCAGGCGCCCAGCATCATATAGCAAGCAACCAGAAAAATATTTTCGCAAGGATTGTTAGGGATAATAGGCGTGGATTTTTAAAGAATTTTTTTCGCAAGGATTATTAGGGATAATTTTTTAAAGAATATTTTCGCAAGGATTATTAGGGATAATAGGCGTGGATTTTTAAATAATTTTTTTAAATATTTTCATGCTGTCAAAATTATTTATTTTCGATAATTTTTATTGGCAGAGTTGCCACATCGACAGAAAATAAGATTTTTCTTGGATTCTTCTTCTGGTACTTGCACCACACACGGTAAACGTTTTACAAACCTGTAAATTTAATTTGAACCGAACTGTCAACATCTTCTGCTACCACAGATAGTCAACTCTTTTATCTTTAAACTCTTGAAAAAATATACCTCATTTAAAGCGACCGTAGACCTCCACAAAACGTAAGCTGAGGGTACATATCTGTCAGCAAAACCCTCTAACACTTGTTTTAAATAATTTTTATTTACTCTGTTCCATGACTGTAAAAATCAACTAGTTTTTCGATAACATAGTTTTAATTTTAATAATTTAATTTTTATCATTGTCAAAAATTGCACATTCTTGCAGGTTTTGAAACAAACCTATTATATAATACGATTACATGCATTGTATTTGTTGATAACGTAGACAAGCACCAATATTGTCTTCCGGGCTTCCTTTTCCTCTACCATCGCCGAAATGAATTCCCACATAGAACGGAGTTACTGTCGATTCAATGCGACATGGCCACATTCCATTTGAACAAAACTGCATTCCACAGTGTACGGGCTCACAGCCTGGCAGCGGACCAAGCCCAGTCCCAATGAAATCTTCCACAATGCAAGGCATTGTAATTCGATCACGACAACTACTATAAAATTGACGTTTTTGTCTTTCCGTTAAAAATCGTGCCTGCCTTGCACTGCGAAATCTCAATTCAAAAGCCGTTCGTAAAAATCCTAATAAATCGAAACCACCACTTGTTGGGCGTGGTCGTTTGGATACCTCTGATGGTGTTGGGCGGAATCTGGTATCACCATCGCCAGAACCCTCAACATCATCACTAAGAGCGGTGGTTGTAGAAATGGTTGTTTGCGTGGTTGAGGTAGAAGATCTGGCAGTAGTAGTTGATAACATATCGCTCTCTGAACTTTCATCAGGATCGTCTGCACTTGACGACGAACTAGTTGAAGTTGTCGGGTCTGGTGCCACAGACGAAGTTGATGTCGCCATCGTAGCTGTTGTGGCTGTCATTGTCGACGAAGTAGGTGCTTCAGAACTTTCATCGGGATCATCATCGGGGGCAGAGGTTGTAGTGGTAGTTGATGTTGTAGTGGTGGATGATAATGTAGTGGAAGTGGATGTTGTAGTGGATGCTGTTGAGGTAAAGGTTGTAGAAGACATTGTAGCTGCCGTAGATGTAGACGTTGACATTGTGCTAGCAGAAGACGAGGTACTCACGGGAGTAGTTGCTGTTGTCATAGGGGTGGTGGTCATAGTCATTGTGTCCATTGCGTCATCAGACAACATCAGCATTTGATTCATAATTGGCATACTTCCCATCGAGGGCATATTCATAATATTCGGTGGCATTGCGGCTCCTCCACCTGTGCCCATACCATTGTTACTAACACCGCCACTTTGTGTTGCTGTCGATAGTCTCATTGACGTTCTGGGTCCAATGCGAAATGACTGATCATCACAAGGTTGGTACACAATCGAACACATATCAACTTCTTGTCGCATGCAAATGCGATAGTTTTGATTAGCTAGATGACGTCCATTATCGGCAAAGTTAAAAGTCTGTAAACATTGATAGGTACTTTATTATAATTCATAAGTAGGCTTTTTATAAATAACAACACATTTTCTAATAATAGTTGTGAGGTAATTTAAAATTGAAAAAAAAAATAAACGATCAATCTGCAGCAATTTACCTGAAAAACACCTTCCGCACCTGTAAAATACTGCAAACAACCAGCCGGTGCTCGTTGGCTAAAAGGTATTTGGGCAATACGAATTTCCCATAGACGAGTTGGTAGAAATCTTGGTGCAAAATGTAAACTGATTTCAATTTCCATGCTAGTATCTCCGGTAATATTGCGTCCCGGATATAAATCTTCAAATCGCAGGGGTCTTAACGAACCGTACAGTGTCTGTCTGGCAGCCATTCTTCCCCCAACATCATAGTAAACTATTTAAGGAAACAATTATTATTGAAATAACACATACACGTTGATATAATTATACACACCATGTTGTCCACTATTTTGACCGCACAACGAAAATGTGCCACCCGGTCCACCCGTGACATTGAATACATCTCCATCACAAACTCCCGTTCGACGATTCGGTTGCCCCAATATGAAATGGTAAAAATCAAAACGCAACTGACTTATATCGTCGTTCATCAATTTGATTTTCAGTTTACAGTTGGTTATGTTGTTGGGCATGAAACTTGGAAAACTAGGAGATACCAGGTATGTAATGTTGTTGTTAATCGTTTCATTACAATTGGCAATATCTGTAAAATCGAGGAATAAAATAAGAGCTATATTTCAGAATGATCGATTCGTACCACTTACAAATACAGCAAACCCCAAAGCCATGAGCACATTCACCTTTGGCCTGTCCACCTTTGCTGCGACATTCATAGGCATTGAAACAGGTGCCAGTACGGCGACCATCGTTGGATAAGCACTCGCCATCCACAGGTACGGGAAACAAATGAATCACTACAGGAAGTCAATAAATTACGTTATCAATTTGAAATTCGTTTACTACAAAGGATCACTTTGGTGACGAATCTAAGCAGAATGCATCGATTGCGGTTTCGAATACATAATTTGTTTAATAAGCAATTTTACATAATTGGTAAAAACCATTACTGCAATTTACAGAAATTTAAGTATGGGGAATTCCCACAAATATTAATATTATTCGATATCATAAAGGACAATTTGTAATCGTAGTAAAAAGTAGTCGATTCTTGCAGTATGTGAACAAACCATATATTATACGCATATTATTATCCCACCACAAAAACTGTAAACGTTGAAATTTTCAATAAAAATACTTCAAACATCTATCACATCTATGTCTTTTAATTTTTGATGGATGGAGCAAATTATGGAGTTAGTAACAAACCTAACATTAACCCTGAAAATTTTTGGGCAGTGATCAAGATCTTAAAGAGGTACTTAAATGTACCTTATAAAATTCATTCCAGTAAATATACACCTAGACAAGAAATAAACAAAGTTCAACACGAGGAAGACAAGTTGTAATTATAATTAAAAAGGGTTTAAAATGTTCATAAGAATGCCGATCACATTACACAAAACATGCATTCTCACCTCGATGTTGTCGTCGAAAATTAACATCTTTTAAGCTATTGATGATCGCGGTCGTTGAAGACGTTGAATTCATTAATGAATACAAATTCCAATTAAAATCCTTTAGTGTTTGTAACGAATCGTTGGCAACCGCTTTCATATAGTTGACATGGTGCGTAGGCTCATCGTCATAAATTCTGTAATCATCAGCACCTTGATGTTTTTCCGTTGCCCCTAAATCCTGTATATCATCGTTCCAAATGTCATGGTGCTTCAGAGGAGGCCAGGCGGCACGATTGACTTTATTATCACTACTAGCAGCATGAGGCGGCGCCGCATCTACTACTGCCGTCAGCCATGCCATTATCATCCATGTTGTTATTATGCATTTCGGTAAAAGGTATTTTGTTGAAACACATTTGTGATGATGAGCACAGAAGTGATTTCGTTGTTGTTGTTGTAGTTGGTGATGATTAGCTCTTTTTAAAAATACTTTCTTATTGTTCTTATTGTGGAATACAGAATTTAGATTGGAATTAGAAAATATTGTATAGGTCGCTGTTTTGGTTAGTGTTTCCAAATGGTGTTCCATTGGTGCGATGTTTTCTGCTTTGTTCTTCGTTTAGGTAATTAATTATGGCTTTGTTAAACTTTTGTTTTCGTATCACAAAATCGAAATGAATTTTAAAATACAGAATGCGGATTTTTAATGGCTTTTTAAACGTTTGGCACATTGAAAAACAACAACAACAACAACAACAAGAGACAAAGATATCGTTTTCACTTAATGCGTGTCTGTGCTTTCCTTTTCACTGTTAAATTGAAAATAAGCCACTGTTGTGCGATATTGTGCTTACAAACTAGCATAGACCAGAAGACTATCTACCACTGCAATGGATGCTGGTCAACAAACAAATGTTGCTAAAATGTCCATTATCCACCAGTATTGTAATAGACACAAACAAATGGAGAGAGAGAGCCTACATGCGTTAGACTTTTCAAGTATTGACAATGTCAGTTATTCACTCGATTTTGGCCAACCACACAACCATTTGTGCTATTACTATATTATTTAGTTTTATTATATATATGGAAATTCAAGAATATATTGTTGTAGTTGTTCATTGGATTTGGAGGATAAAAAGAAAATGTAAACAAAAAAACAAGTTGGTCAGCAACAGCTTCTATGGAGTAGAGCGCGCTTGTGCCTTAAGTCTTTTGTTATTATCAATGAAAGTTTGCCACTTAAGTCTTTCAAAAGCAAAGAAAGTTTGTCGTTTAAGTTTTGTGTGTGATCGTTTGTTATTATGTAGATGGGTCATGTTAGATACATATTTGAGGTTCGCAAGATGTATTTATATGATAACTGTAGATTATATTGAATTATAAACTGTGTGAAAACATTAGTCTCAAATATATTTCCAACAAATTGATGAAATCTTAGAGACAACAAACTAATAATCACATAGTGGTTCATAAACTCGATTAAGATAATAAGGCGACAATTAATTACTTGGTTTATACCTAACACTACTATAAGAGTAAGTATTGTTTGTGTGGCCAAATATCGGTCCTAGATCCACCGAATTCAACTAGCTGATGATCGGTTAATATTTATCCAGTCGAATGGACGTTTAACGGATCAAAGAATTCTACCAAATATACACTCTATTTAATCCAAAATAATACAAATTTTATAATACCCAATTTTTAAATAGATTTCCTTGGTTTGCCCTATTTTATTAAAAGCAAAACTAACTACAAACTGGTTTGAGTTCTCTTTCAATTTAAGCGATTTTTTGCTATTTAAATTAGACTGCCCTCTAAGATTTTTTTGAATTAAGTTTCGCTGAAAGTATGTGCCAATTAAATATAATCATTACAATAATTGCATCCAACATTTCCAACGTTATTCTGAAGAGAAATTGCCTCTTATTATAATTTTCATTTAATTGAAGAGGGAAATTTTACTTTCGTACAAATAAAAAACACAATAATGAAAATATTCGCATAATTTGAATGCATTTTTTCCCATCCAACACAACTTAACAAGCTTTCGTCCAACAGCCGAACTCCCAACTTCCGTAGAAAAAATATTAGCTAATTACGACACACCCGCTTGCAGACAACACCTTATTTGGTTGAACTTCATAGACGTTCGTTTAACAAAAGATGACTTTTCATTTCAACTATGTTTTTATGATTGCATTAAATGCCGCCGCATCCATTCCGCATGCCTCGTCTTCATTAATTATGTGCATATGAAGATTAATCGCCAACCACGTAATTATTTTCCAAGCAGCCGTTGTCTTTGTCATTTCTCTGGCCATTGTTGGCAAATACCTAAGAAGAGACTTTACCTCTGGTGGTTTTGCGTTTCATTCACAACTAAAATAACTGAGATTTTGTGAGAATCTCGAAAGGAAGGAAAAACTTCACTTTCATTGATTGTTTTGCGCAATTGTATCTTTTAGCTGTTTTCCTTTGTCTTGAAGATGGTTTTGATTTTTTTTTGCTGTGCCAAATTCCGTTTAAAACGCCAGTGATGCTGCAGCGGATATTCCCACACAGCGTATATGTGCTCACATGCAACATTGTTGTGAAGTCTCCCGATTCTTCGTTTGTTGTTTTTTTCGTTGTTTTGTGGAGCATATCGTGGTCAATGCTGGTGCATTTTTCTGCAAATTGTTTGGAAAATTCCAGTTTTTCGTTTTTTTGTCTTTTCTTTCTGTTTCATTTTTGAGTGCAGTGGTAATGATATGACCACGTTGGTGTTGCAGTACAGCTTCTTTTCTTTTGGGTTTGTGTTATATTTAGCTGTCTTGTTCTTCTTCTATGTTGTTGTAATTTAATGTTCGTTGTGGTTTATATTTATTTATACATATATGGATACTTTCTTAAGAGGGTTGGAGAAGAAATGTTATGTGGCTATAGCCAAAGGTACATTTAAAACAAGCCTATTTAATGATTTATTAAAATTTTATTTTTTACAATATTGCTTGACATTTGTAACACAGCAAACTATTTGTCCTAACCTAATGAGTACTTCCGTCTGTCCATTATAACATTTGTTCAAACTGTAGGTAGCTTTTAAGTCCCAAAAGCAAACCCGAAGACCAAATTATTATCGCAACATTTCGATTTTTTACAGGATATATTCACTTTATGGCTAAGAATGGAACTTAGCAGAATGAGTATTAGGTAGATATGCAGGGTAGCCATCCGACCGTAGTCTTTGTCTTTTGGTTACAACTAGTTATTTGTTGCTTGGCTATTGAACATGTTGTTGGGTATGCATAAACTCAATTGGACGATTGGAGTTATGGTCACATCTTTCAGATTACACCTCGTTGCTGTGAAACTGTTGCAGGAATCACTTTTGTCATTGTCATCTCTTGTTGCTGGTAGCCTCTGCTGTCGTTGTTGGAAAAATCAGGTTAAACAGAAACCGCTACATGACGAATCGACTAGCAAACTACTGAAGTAAAACCAACAACAACAACTATATGTAGGCACTCGTATATCGCTGTAACAAGAAGATCAAAAGAAGAAAGTTTTTATTGCAGAGAGCTGTTGTTGTTGGTAATGGCAGAATATTGTATATTGAAATTACCTATTGAAACTGTTTATTCAGAACATTTAAGATAACATTGTGTGAATTCCATATTTCCGCACAATATCGATTTTTTTTGTTTCGTCTTATTGTTGTCAATATGTCAAGGCTTAAACATTTTCATAGAAATTTTTAATACTGAACACGTTTAAGTTCGGTTTTAATTTTTTAGGTAAGATATATTTAGAAACATAACTAAATCTTTTCCTTTGCATACTTTGTTTGTTTTGTATCAATGTATTGTACGATTAATCACACGATTAAACTTAACGAAAAAAATCTTAACATACGCGGTCTAAATATTAAGCTCTCTCCGGCGATTTTGTGTTTCCTAATTCCTTGTGTTATATAATATTAATTTTAATTTTTTTCTTTCATAAAATAAACTGTTACAGTACGTTTACACTTAACCGGATGTCGTTATCCCAGTGGGTTTAAATTGTCATTTCCTTTGCATATATGTCAAATAAATCCTCATAAAGTAGGTTAACCCGGTAAAAAGTTCTAATGTACAAGGAGTTTTATTAATTAATTGTTATCTTACCTATTTACATGTACTACATTACAAACAACCTTTGCAATTAAGTTCTGTGTACATATGCATGTAAGTATATTTGTATGTATAATTATCATTTATTTCAATTTTTGGAAGTGGGTTATTTATGTCGCTGAACTTATATAACTATATATCTAGGTTTAGTCAATAATAAATTAAATAATGAAAAGTTACAGAATATTAATATAAAAAAGGAGTAGACAAATGCGAATTTCAGAAGAATTCCATTTGGGGAAATTCTAAAGAAAATCTATTTAAAAAATATACAGTGTACACTGCGCTACAGTAAACAGTGCAGTGCAGCATACATCAATAATCACAATTATATATTGACAAGAATATATAATCGATTATTGGTTGAGTTTTCTTCTTATTGGGGTAACTAACTTACGATATTATCGTAATTTGTATGGACATCTTAAAAAATAACGCAAAAATATTAAAGCTTAAACAAAAAGGCCAATAAAGAGCCATGCTAGCGGGCCTTTGGACAAAAATGGGCTACAGTGATGTTCTGATATTTTACAAAGGTGAAGCCAAACGTAGTCCTCCAACTATTTGGTTGGGAGAACTTTCTAAACCGAGATGTTGTATGAACGAAATGTTTTAGGAAAGTCTGGTGGCAGGTTTCTTTTCTTGAGTTTTGTGCAAAAATGTTTTCTTAAAATTACAATAAAAGAAAAGAAGAAGAAGATGAAATGCGACGGTGTCTGTGTGTGTGTCCATCGATGTGTGTTTGATTGAATTTACAAGCTTCTATAGTGGCTCCAGTGTCGTCGGACCATTTGGACTGGCTTCCAGTTTGCGCCAAACAACATTACACATCTCGCGTACCAATGCCTTTTCACCGTCATCCATTTGATCGATGGCATTGCCGGTTAGATGCCCCAATCTATCGCGTTCTAGTTGTTCTCTGACTTCTAAAACTTGTAGAGCTCGTACAACAGCTTCTGGCCGACCAGATATGGGATCAACTAAGCCATCATTTAATGCAGATGGCGACGACGATGTCGATGTTTGTGTTGCTATTTTTTGGTTTTGGTGATTTGTTACGGCTGTTGTTGTGACATTTGTTGGCTGATGCAGTTGCTGCGGCTGTTGTTGCTGCTGCAGCGTCGCTAGCTGTTGTGACGACGATCGATGTTGTTGCTGTTGTTGGCTTGCCAGGCTGGCTGCTGCTGTTGTTGCCGTATTGGTATTATTGGTCAAACGTTCCTCCTCCAATTGTTGAATGCGTCGTTCCAAAGATCGCACATATTGCAGTGTTTGGTCTTGCAGTGTTGAACGTAAATGCAGATCCTGTTGGGAAATACAAAACGGAAAACAACAACAGCGAACAATAATTGTTAGTGAATTTCTATCTAATGGTATTTATGGTACATGGACTAGATTCGATTCTAGTTTTTTTTTTTTTTTTTTGTATTTACCGGTAATTGCCTCTCGTAGTTTCGCAGTGCAGTTATATTTTCATCAGCATTTGTACTTGAACTTGAACCATCGCCGTCATCTCTTAGCGTGTTACGGGTCGAGGCACCACAATTCACACACAACGAATTGGCAGCAATGTGAGCCCTCTCTTCGTCCAAATAAAGGCAGAGTTCCTTAAGTTCCAAATTGTCAGTTATGAGTTCTTGTTGTTTATCGTCCAGTTGACGTAGTTTATTCTGGAACAGGAAAGGGGCAGATACATATATATTTAATAGTAATGTGTATATCTATTGAAAGCGTTATGGTATTTTCAAGATTCGTTGAAATAAATATATAATTGTTGTCATAGATTGGTCGTATTGAACATTTTAGCAAAGATTTGTTATGTACTTAGATTGCCAAATTTTCGTATGTAGTTTGTATGTTATTCAGATGTTAAGTGCAAAATTCAATCGGATATTATTTTATTTTCTCAAAATATAAGTCGTTTATTTTGAAAGTGGTTTAAGTCCATTTTAGGTTTTGATACAAATCTTGGTTTTCTAAAAAAGTTTACAAAACATATTACGTTATATAATCTATCATGTAAGCCACAAACAAAAATTATACCACTTAGCAATATTTTTGAAACAAATTAAACCCAAAATAAATAAATATCATAATATAAGAAAAATGGGCTTAAACCACTTTAAAAATAAACGACGTATGTTTTTTTATTGTATTGAACTCTGGCATTCCATTTAATTTTTGGCTCTACAAAAAAGATCAGGAAGACTTAGAATGGATATTTTAAATAAGTTATTCGCACTTAGATCCATATTTTTATTAGAACGATATTTTCTAAATCTTAATATTTGTATAAAACTCATGTCGGTACCTCAGAAGTGCCGCCCACAGGATTTTTTTTAAATATTTACATGTTTCTGATGATGATACTTTACGACGTGACTATTAAATATTAAAAATTGTCCTGATTCTAATTAAAACTTTGTAGTAAATAAAATTACAGTCCCGTATTTTGATTGATTTACCCACCTGATACGCTGCCACCTCTTGTCGCATAACACTTGCTGTATAACGACCAAATCGCTGCCATTCTCGTGCCAGCTTTCGACCTTTCTGTCGATCGTCGTCCAAGAAACAGCACAGATCTCGCAGCTCCTGATTATCGTCCATAAGCCGTTGATTTTGTTCTTTTAGGGCGCGCAATTCGTTGATCAATGACTGTAGCTGACGATTCTGCTCGGCTGTTAGACGTCCCGCCGTCGACGTTATACCACCTGTACCACTGGATGTGACCGATGCATTTGGTGAAGGATGATCTTGATCAGATTTGCGTACAAACTTTAACATATCCTGTTGTTGTTGTTGCAGCTGGTTATCCGTCAGTGACGATTGATGGCCGTTTAAGACGTTGTTGGTATGATTGCTGTGGTGGTTGTTGTTGCCGTTGCTATTGGTGTTGGTGTTATGAGCAATGCCGTTCGCTGCTATAGCCGTTGCTTGATTAACACTCCGCAATCTCTGTTGCAGTTGTGATTGATTCGTTTGTTGTTGGTGTTTCTGTTGCAAATAGCGCGAATTGCTGGCGGAGCCGTTTTTCAAGGAGTCGGGTATGTAAACGCTGGACAGTTGTGGTATATCCGGGGGATATTTTAGGTTGCCCAAATGACCGTTGCTCTGACTCTCCGCAAAATATGATGTGTAACCGTTGGTTGTGCCCTGACTGGTCTTGGTGCCGTTTGTTAATCGTTGCGAATTCAAATTCTTCAGAATGCCGGTCGTGTGTTGTGGATGTTGCTGCTGCTGGCTGTTGTTGGTGGTGTTGGCCGGCTGTGGTGGTGGCTGATAACGCGGCGGTATGGAATGAGCCGGAGCCTTTAGATTTGTAGCCGATTTAAGAGATTGCAAATGATAAAAACTTCGCCGGTTGGGAGGATTCGTCAATTGATCGGTGTTGGCGCCACTAGGAGCTGTTGTTATCGCCGCCGTCGCTGAAGTTGTTGGAGTTTGTGTGGCAGCCACGGCCGCTAACGACGATGACGCCGACTGAACGGTGTGCAGTTGTTGGCCTGGTGTGGATGGCTGATGTATTGTCGCTACTGTTTGTAATTGATTCGCTTGGGGTGGTTGGGTGACCGCGCCAGACGTTGCAACCGTTATATGTTGATGTTGTTGCTGCAATGTTGCTGAGGGAATAAAGGAGCGCCTTTGATGTTGTTGCGGAGCCTGCAATTTGCTTAGACCGATTGCTGATGATGACTTTAAATTTGTGCTGTGCTGTTGCTGTTGTTGCTGCTGCTGTAGGCTATTGGGAGAAGGTTGCAGTTGATTGCTGTGGTGTTGGTGGTGCTGATGACTCGATGGGTGGGGGTTAGTATGCAGAAACGTTTTGCTGGATGATGCCGTTGTCGTTGTTGTTGCAGCGTTTGCACTCACAAACAAATTTCCATTAATTTTGTGTGTGTTGGTGACGGCAGACATTGTCAGTCGTTGTGTTACCATTTATGGTGGCATAAAATGCACGTTGCCTTCCTTTGTTGGATAAAAAAGCCTTAGGGTTATTTTCGGGGGCGAAAAACCCCTACTCAAAGTACTTCTCTGGAAATCATTATGTCGCTTCGTTGCATGTACAATTTTGTTTTGTTATTTTTGGCACAAAAAGTCTCACAACCGCTCAAACCTACGAATGAGAAAAACAAAACGAGGAAGAAGAAATACAATTATTGCAATTAGTTGCTGACTTCAGTTAGTAAGCTAGTAAGTAAGTATGATGCAAGCAGTTTAGTAAATCAGACAGACAGACAGCCGGCACAAACAGACTGCAGACGCACAGTATTTATGATGGAATTTTTGTTATTATTAACCCTTATAGGTCCGTCCTCGGACATTTTATAATTTACACATAATGTGGTTTATTTTTATACCCTTCACCACACTGTGGTACAGGGTATTATGTCTTTGTGCATATGTTTGTAACAGGCAAAAATAATTGAGATAGACCCATGGTTCCTTTTGAGAATATGCATAGAATCACTTTCTAAGTCGATTTATGCATGTCCGTCCGTCCGTCCGTCCGTCCGTCTGTCCGTCTGTCCGTCTGTCCGTCTGTCTGTCCATGTTAAATTGTAAACAAAGTACAGGTCGCATTTATGATCCGAATTGGATGAAATTTGGCATAGGTCACTTATTGGGCCCAAGGACGAACCCTATTGAAATTGGGAAAAATCGGTTCAGATTTAGATATAGCTCCCATATATATATTTAACCGATTTAATGTAAACGGTCCCTATATATCTTTCGATTTGCACGAAATTTGGTACAGGCTAATCATTTAGGCCTATAATGATGTCTGCCAATTTTCGTGAAAATCGGTCCAGATTTAGATATAGCTCCCATATATAGTTTCGTCCGATTTCATGTAAATGGTGCCCCAAAGTCCCTATATATCTGTTGACTTGCACGAAATTTGGCATAACGTACTGAATTAAGCCTAGAGTGATGTCTGCCAAGTTTCGTGAAAATCGGTCCAGATTTAGATATAGCTCCCATATATAGTTTCGTCCGATTTCATATAAATGGTGCCCCAAAGTCCCTATATATCTTTTGATTTGCACGAAATTTGGCATAACGTACTGAATTAAGCCTAGAGTGATGTCTGCCAATTTTCGTGAAAATCGGTCCAGATTTAGATATAGCTCCCATATATAGTTTCGTCCGATTTCATGTAAATGGTGCCCTAATGTTCTTATATATCTTTCGATTTGCACGAAATTTGGTATAACGTACTGAATTGAGCCAAGAATGATGTCTGCCAAGTTTCGAGAAAATCGGTCCAGATTTAGATATAGCCCCCATATATAGCTTCGTCCGATTACATGTAAATGGTGCACCAAAGCCCCTATATATCCTTCGATTTGCACGAAATTTGGCATAACGTACATAATTGAGCCCAGAATGATGTCTGCCAAGTTTCGAGAAAATCGGTCCAGATTTAGATATAGCTCCCATATATAGTTTCGTCTGATTTCATGTAAATGGTGCCCTAATGTTCTTACATATCTTTCGATTTCCACGAAATTTGGTATAACGTACTGACTTGAGTCTAGAATGATGTCTGCCAAGTTTCGAGAAAATCGGTCCAGATTTGTATATAGCTCCCATATATAGCTTCGTCCGATTACATGTAAATGGTGCACCAAAGTCCCTATATATCCTTCGATTTGCACGAAATTTGGCATAACGTACTTAATTGAGCCCAGAATGATGTCTGCCAAGTTTCGAGAAAATCGGTCCAGATTTAGATATAGCTCCCATATATAGTTTCGTCCGATTACATGTAAATGGTGCCCCAAAGTACCTATATATCTTTTGATTTTGACATATATAGCTTCGTCCGATTACATGTAAATGGTGCACCAAAGCCCCTATATATCCTTCGATTTGCACGAAATTTTGCATAACGTACTGAATTGAGTCTATAATGATGTCTGCCAAGTTTCGAGAAAATCAGTCCAGATTTCTATATAGCTCCCACATATAGTTTCGTCCGATTTCATGTAAATGTTGCACCAAAGTCCCTATATATCTTTCGTTTTGCACAAAATTTGGCATAACGTACAGAATTGAGCCTAGAGTGATGTCTGCGTTGTTTCGTGAAAATCGGTCCAGATTTAGATATAGCTCCCTTTTATTATAGATTGATTTTAAGTAGTTGACGCACCAAGAACCAATAGCAACAAAACGTTCTGAAATTAGTATAACCTATCCTGTCACAAGTTTGTTTGAAATCGCTTAATATTTGGATAGAGCTTCCATATATATTTTCGACCGATTTCAAGTAAATTGGGCATCAAACTCCTCATGTTAGTCAGTTTGACATCAAATTTTGCACAACGTACAAAATTGAGCATAGAATTATTTAGTTGCGTTTTCTAGAAGTACAGACATAGCCCAACGGATGACCCATTTATATTTGTTTGAAGTCGATTTACATACTTTATGGATAGATCTACGTAGATTCACATTTAGATAAATATCACATATTTTATTTCATCCAATTTCATGCTAATAGTCCTGTTTAATATACCCATAGTGGTGAAGGGTATCATATAGTCGGCCCCGTCCGACTTTACTACTTTCCTTACTGGTTTACTAATTATATTTTAGAATATGAACATAGAACACTTTCTTTTCCAAAGAGAATTTCAATTATTTAAATTAAGTATGGACCCCCAAACTATTTTTCGAAAAAAAATTTACCATCGACAACCTTTTTGTGCTTTTGCAGAAATGACTTAGTTGCAGATAATAAAATCTTACCACCTATTTCTTTAAATGTTCGTCAATTTATATCGGATTTTTCACAGTCATGTACGTTTTCCTTTTATTCAAGTTTGTAACACGTTTTAAAAATCAACAACTGACCTATCGCGTGGTCTTCCAAAAAATGAATTCTCATGCAAGTAGTCACGCAATTTTGTGAGTGCAACGCAAATACTTGATGACAGGCTTTTAAACACACGTATTTTTTTGGACATACATTAAAAGAATTCATACCATTACGTGGCCAAGACTGACGTATACGAGTGACAGAGACAGTAGTGACCCACGGTAATTACAAAAACATTGTAGATAATTTGAATAGTTCTGTCTCCTTGCTCGATATTTGGCAGCATTTGTTAAAAAATGTTACTAATTGTCGGTTGTATTCGTATGTTCGGGAATTTGAAAATGTTCGCTGAGAAATAGCAAAGGCATATACTATTTTATATATTGTCTAATTTTTAATCAGGGGTCGGTGTTAAATATAGGAATATATATATATATATATATATGTATTTGTTTTTCATTTTATTTATTTATTATCTTTGAAAATGTTTCCAGTTCGAACGGCAAACAACTTTATGAATTGTTGGCTCACTTTTTGGTGATATTTAAAAGGTAATGAAGTACTTGCAACTAATATTGCACAAAGGCAATTAATGTTTCATCTAATAATTAAGCCGCTCAGTGCACACATCGATTTGAAACATTTAAATATATGGAAAAAATGGACTTAAACCACTTTCAAAATAATCGACATATATACCAAAGACGATGTAAATAAAAGTCAAAACGATGTGTTTACTATCCGGAATTTTCCGTCCTGATTTCATAAACGAAGTCGCTATGAACACGTGTATGTGCATATATGGGTTAAGTTTCCCAAAACAAATACATATCTAATTTGGGACTATGTCGTCTAATCTTTCCATTTAAGTCAGTGGGTGACTAAATACAACGATTATGGCATGAAACTCGCTCATGTGGCAGTATTTATGGCGCCATAGCTGATAATTTTTTGCTTGCTTGCATTTTATATCAGTTGCTGCTTGCTAACTTTTTTAGTTGTTGTGCAGCAAATGTTGTAATTAAATTGTCATCAACATTTACTTTGTCGCTCAACGACTGTAGAAAGTGAAATGCGATTATAATTATTTGTTTTTTAGTTTTGCTACAAACAAAATGGAAATGGCTTTCAGGTAGAGGCACTCAGCATGTAGGATGTCGATTGAGTGTTTTCTTTTTCTTTCAAAATAGTATTAGTTTTAATATTTATGACTTTTTATCACATTGGCGTAGAGGGACTAATGTTTTATAAAAGATACTTCAACACCGAAATAAAAACATATTAGTTACGAACCCTGGATATCAGTTAGCTGTGCCGATATTATTTTCCTGCAAATGGAAATTCATGGAAATTCAAACATTTCAAACAAATTGAATTGATTATTAATTTCCTCTGCTCTACAATAATCGATACTGCAGCATGCAAGCGTTGTGTCCAGGTCAGACATACAGATTAGTTTCTTGTTCTTGTCGTAATGTGACATTTCCTTTTCATGCATCAATCAAATGACGTGCAACATTTTATTTGTCGGAAATATTGTGAGATTCAATTTATTTCATAATTACTGATCAATGAAAATATCTTATGATGGCTTCTCGGAATCATGCGACCATTTACAATAAACGCACAACGTTGGCGTTGCAAATCATTTCAAGAAAATATGCTTTTAATGGTGCAAAAACATGCAAGTAAATTTAACAAATTAAAACAAAATATCTCAATAATCTCAAAACATCTTCAAAAGGCTTCGATATGTTTCCCCATCGACCCACTTCCAAAAACGAAATAAAAATTGTTTATTTTTCGGTAAATCTTTATTTAAATTTGGGAACTACTTAACGGCATATATTTCGTTATAATAGAGTTTACGTAATGATGTTATTCAGCAAGCGAAAAGAACTGAAGAGCTGGGACAACTTTGAAAGTAACAATTTCAGTGCAGTTTTGCATGGTTTGATGCAGATTTTGGCAAACGATATGCCTACAAATACTGTTGACTAACTACGCAAGCGTTGTACTATTAAAGAGAAGCGAGGTGAGACGGCAATGGCAACAACTAAACCCAGTTTACCCAATAAACAGAAAATAAGAA